CCTCCCTCGATGACGACGTGGATGATATCGGCCCCCAGGTGCTCCGACAAGCGGCGATGGGTCTGCGATTGGAAAGCGCCGCCGCGGGGGCCAGCAGTAGGGCCGCGGGCTCTGCCCCGTGTGGGCGAGGTCAGCAGGGGCCCCACCGCCAGGAGGAGTCAGACAGTTCTGATTGACCCAACGCTCTTTCATGTCTGTCTCTGGTGACTGGCCTACGGTTGCCCTTGTTTCTAGTGTTTCCTCTGGCGCACGGCCCGATGCGACTGCCCTTCTGGCAGGCACCCGTGCAATGCCCTTTCTGGGGCGAGGGCGGGGGTCATGGCGACCCGACCGCGGCCTCCCTTTCTTAGCTCGCCGCCCTGCTGGTCTGTGTCCATTTCGTTGGAGCGGAAGGCGGCGGGTCCTTGATCGCCCTGCCCAGTTGGTCTTTGGCCATATCTGGAGGGCCCGCCAAGGGGGCACTGGCTCAGGGTGCGAGTTGGGCCCATACCTGGGGCAGTCCAGAGGCCGTCCAGGCGTCCGCCCTTAGGGTTCGGTACACCTGGAGTTTCCTGGCTGTCGTCCTGGCGTCGCCTGTGAGTTCAGATTCTAGGAAAGTACTTGATAGTATGTGGCCTGTTCTGTGCAACTTAATGGTCTTGCCCGTGGCAGTTAAGTTCAAGCTGGGAGGGGAGAGGCGGTCATCCCCCGCGTCCTAGCACTTGCCCAGTGCATCAGTGTGTGTAGGCCCGATGTTTTCTGTGTACCCCACATCTGGGGCGAGGCTCGCCATCGTCCTGGCGCTCTTTGCACCTGGGGCGGCTGTCCTCGTCGTCCTTATGTGGGTGGTCGAATTATCTGTCTTTCTGTCTCGTGTTCCGTTTCTCTGGCTACTGGCCAGTGGTGCACTGCGTTCGTTCGGCTTGTGTGCGCGCACGTTTCCGTTCTGCACGCGTGTCAGGCACCCCGCCTCAGGGGGAAGGCGCATGGCACACTCGCTGTAGTGTTGTGTCCAGACGTGGGCCTGGCACGGGGGCTCGTCGCCCTGACCGTTGCCTTGCTCAGTTTCGCTGTCTGCCATAGTCCTGGCGTTCGTTCGCCAGGTCGTGGGCTTACTCGTGCGCGTGCTGCGCGTAGGCTGCTTGCACGTGTGTCAGGCACCCCATTTGTGGGGGAAGGTGCGATGCACGCGTGATGGCTCCTCGCGTTTTGAAGGTGGAGGTGGTCGCCCTGGCCTCTCCCCCTCCTTTTCCCCGTGCTGGGGGCGGCTCACCTGGAGCACGGCCAGGAGCCTTCGGAGGCCACTGGCGACAGTTGCGCAGGCGAAGCCAGTGGGAGGTTTCCCTCCCCCCTCCGCTCAGCGCGGAGGAGGCAGCCTCCCTGGGCGCAACGGAGCCCAGGGTGGCGTTTTTACGCCAATGAGCGTCCTTTGAGGGTTTCGCCAGCCCTCAGTTGTATCGTGGCTGCTTTGTGGATGTTTAAAAAAATCCTCCTCCTCATCTCTCTCTCCTCTCTCTCCTCCTCCTCCTCCTCCTCCTCCTCCTCCTCCTCCTCCTCCTCCACCTCCTCCCCCTCCTCCTCCTCCTCCTCCTCCTCCTCCTCCTCCTCCTCCTCCTCCTCACCTCCTCCTCCTCCTCCTCCTCCTCCTCCTCCCTCCTCCTCCTCCTCCTCCTCCCTCCTCCTCCTCCTCCTCCACTCCTCCTCCTCCTCTCCTCCTCCTCCTCCTCCTCCTCCTCCTCCTCCTCCTCCCCTCCTCCTCCTCCTCCTCCTCCTCTCCTCTTCATCATCTCATCATCATCATCATCATCATCATCATCATCATCATCATCATCATCATCATCATCATCATCATCATCAGCATCATCATCCTTATCCTTATCCTTATCCTTATCCTTATCCTCATCCTCATCCTCATCCTCATCCTCATCCTCATCCTCATCCCTCCCCCTCTTGTCGTCCTGAAAGCACTCGCGACGGACGGTGTTGTTGGCAGTTTTCGGCCTCGGGGGGCTCTCACCGGGCCTCGGGACTTTCAAAAACAACAACTTGGCATGAAAAGCCAGTCCAGGTCCAGGAGAAGGGGTCCAGACCTCTGCGGGCCGACGTTGTGAAAACATGGACGACGTCGGAATTATGGGTCTTCCCCCTTATCTTCATCCTTTCTCATGCTCCCTTCTCCTGTTCCAGCCAGCCCCCTATATAGCGAGGATGGTCGACGATTAAGACATAAACCCCCAGGGGTCGCCTTCGTATTCTGTCGGAGGCGAACTTGTTATTTTGCTGGTCCCACCCGCCGGATTCTTTGGGCGCCGCGTTGAGGCTGGTGATGTCATCTCCCCCGCCCGCGCCGTGCAGTTTCGAAGATTCCGCTGGGCCCCTTTGGATTCCGGAGGAGGAGGAGGAGATAGAGGAGGAGGAGGAGGAAGAGGAGGAGGAGGAGGAGGAGGAAGAGGCGGAGGAGGAGGAGGAGGAGGAGGAGGAGGAGGAGCTCTCGACACTTTCCCAGGTGCTCGACATCATTTCTGGGATGTGGTCCTTCAGTACCATGGGAGCAACACAAGACGAGGAGGGTCCTGGCGTCGCTCGGACGTGTGCGTAGTTTTTCTCGGCGAGGGCCCTCGAGAAGCCTGTTGGGCCATCCTGCGAGGATCCACGCGCACGGAACCGAAAAGTGCACCAGGGGGCAGTGGACGTCCGAGCGATGGCGAGGGGCGCTGTCGCCGGCCGCCTCTTGTCGGGACTGGGCGGCCCAGTTGCCCCGCCAACCGACGGCCTGCTCGGCCCGTCTTCGGCCCTTCGCCGTAGACGCGCTGACGCCAACGTCAGCAGCAGCGACGTAGCTTTCGGCATTGTAGGTGGGACTGGCTCGTGGCCAACCCAGATGCAGGACACCGCGGCTCGTGCTCTCCTGCACTCCGCCGCGTCGCCTTCGCTCGCCACAGTCGCACACTCGAGATATGCAGCAACTTGCAGCTCGCGCTCTCCTGCAGTTTGCTCCGCGCGAGCTCGGTGTCACGGAACTCAGCTTCCCCACGTCGCCGTCAGCCAACATCGCCGTCGGCGCGGCCTCGGCCTTCGCAGTGAGGGCGAGGGCCCCCCGGTCGCTGCTGCCGCCGTGCGGCGGAGTCTCCTCGGACCGGGCGCAGCTCCCCCCCCCCCCCTCGGCCCCCGGCCGCCCGTGGGGTGCACAGCCGGGGGCTGCCGAACAGGGAGCCCTTTTCGCTGGGGAGGGGCTCTGTGTTCCGCGACTGCTTCGCAGCTTGCCAGCTTGCTGTCCCCAGGTCTTAGACTGGGGAATCGAAGTTCAACGTATGGAAAAAGAGGGGCCTCGCTCCATATTTCGGGTTCCTCAGGCCAACGCCCCGACTGTATGTGGGCTGCCCGCCCTGGCCGAGGCAACATAGATTCCATCCTCCTCTCCTCCTGGCCCTCCTCCCTATTGCGCCCTGCCCTGTTCCTCGCCCCCCTCGGTGCGCACCCGGCCTCTTGTGACCCGAGCTCGGAGTACGCGGAGCTGAAGGGGACGTGGTGCCTGGGAGGAGGAGGTGGAGGAGGACAGAACAGAGGAAGAAGGATCTCCAGGGTTTCCACCATCACGTAGCGATGGAAGACTTGCAGCATGCTCAGCTTTTGGGAAACAGGTCGCGAGAGATACGCTATAGAGGAGGAGGAGGAGGAGGAGGAGGAGAAAGGAGGAGAAAGGAGGAAGGGAGGGGAGGGGAGGACGGGAGAAGGGAGAGGAGAAGGGTGAGCTTGTTGGGCGGCTAGAAGCTTTGAATGGGGCTGTATTTCCGGCATTCTAGGATGTTCTGGATGGGGCACAAGTTAGGAAAGAGAAGGGGAAGAGAGAAAGGAGGAGAAAGAGGAGGGAGCGTATGGCAGTTACCTTTTGGTCCCAGTTGGTCTCCCGAGGGGTTCTGAAGGTTTCCGAGATGTCCGAAAGGGGAGGAGGAATATAACAGAAGAAGATGATGATGATGGTGATGGTGATAGTGATGGTGATGGTGATACTGACGACGGTGGTGACAATGATGGTGGTGATGGTGACGGCGACGGTGATGGTGATGGTGATGGTGATGGTGATGGTGGTGGTGATGATGGTGATGATGATGATGCTAATGCTGATGGTGCTGCTGCTGATGATAATAATGATGGTGAAACTGATGTTGCTGATGTTGATGATGGTGATGGTGATGATCATGGTGATGATGACGACGACGATGATGAGGAGGAGGATACTTATGGTGATGATGACGATGACGAAGACGATGACGACGATGATGATGATGATGATGATGATGATGATGATGATGGTGACGATGATGATGTTGGTGGTGGCGATGGTGATGGTGGTGATGGTGATGATGATGATGGTGATGGTTATCGTGATGGGATGGTGATGGTGATAGTGACGATGATGACGAGGATGACGATGACGAGGATGACGATGATGACGACGATGCTGATGCTGATGATGATGACGACGATCATGACGATGACGATGATGATGCATGATGATGGTGATGATGATAATGGTGGTGATGGTGATGGTGATTATGATGACGATGATGGTGATGCTGATGCTGATGATGACGACGAGTCTGATGATGATGACGATGAGTATGATGATTATGATGACGATGAGTATGATGAGTATGATGATGATGATGATGATGATGATGATGATGATGATGATGATGATGATGGTGATGGTGATGGTGATGGTGATGGTGATGGTGATGGTGATGAGTAGGAAGAGCAGGAGGAGGAGGAGGAGGAGGAGGAGGAGGAAGAGGACAAAGAGAAATGCATGCTCCACCTTTTCCACCTCCCTACGTGATCGATCATGGGCGCCATGTCGGACGCAACCACCCAGCTTCCGTCCAGAAGGCCTCCGATCATTGCCAGACACCGCAGAAGCCCGCCGAAGGCCAAGTGGTGGTACGGGGTCTGTGGTCGAACGCGTAACTCTTGGTACATCTCCCTCCCTCTTGCGCCGGAGTTCTGAGCCTCCCGAAGAGGTGCCTGTCGAAGTGCCCTCCTGGTTTCGCGCCCTCTGGCAGCTCGAAGTGCGTGCAGGCGTGCGGGGGCGGCTTCCCCGCGGAGGGCATGGGCGTGTGCGGCGTCAGCCAGGGCGAGCTGGTGATCGCCACGACCGAGATGGTCGGCATGGTTGCCAGCGGCGCCATCCCAGGTGGGCGGCACGGTGGCGGGTGACGTGTTTGTGGCCCTTCTCTGGGCCTGCTGGGCAGCGCTCTCGTCGCCCTGGCCGGAACTCCAGTGGACAATATGTTCGAACCATTACACATTCGAGGGAGATTCTACATCACCCTCACGCCCCCGGACATCAACTTCGGGGGGTCAGGGGGGCATCTTGGGCCGCAGGGTTCGACCATAATGTCCATGTCCGGTCCCTCCCGAGACCCTGGCCAGAGTGCACCTGGTCGGCCTACGCGCTGGGAGTGACCCCCTCGCTGGAGTGGCCGCTGGTGCGGGCCCGGGGCCCCCACCCCCAGCGCCGGCCTGCGCGCCTGGCTTTGCCTCTCCCCCCCCCCTCCTCCTCCTCCACCTCCTCCTCCCTCCGCCTCCTCTCCTCCTCCTCCTCCTCCTCCTCCTCCTCCTCCTCCACCTCCTCCTCCTCCTCCTCCTCCTCCTCCTCCTCCTCCTCCCCCTCCCCCCCCTCCCCCTCCCCCTCCCCCTCCCCCCACTCCTCCTCCTCCTCCTCCTCCCCTCCTCCTCCTCCTCCTCCTCCTCCTCCTCCGTAGCCATTTTGGCTCAAGTTCGAAACCTTGCCGCGAGGCTTCGAGCTTGTCCGCAGCCGTGCGGCAGGCTCGGACGGTTTTGGCGTGTGAGCTGACCGCCGAGTCTCGCGCGCGCGCATCATGGGATATCTTGTCTGTCTCGTCTGTCGCGATGCTGGCAAGACTTCGTGGATCCCCGACACCAACCCCCGCCAGAAGTGTAAGTTCTGTAATACCCCCCTTCCCGGCCGCTCCAGAGGACAGGGTCCAGGAAAGTATGGTCGCAAAGGCGACAAAGACGGCAAAGGCAGGAGCAAAGGCAGTGGCAGTGATCGTGTCTTGTCTCCTCCCCGTGCTCGTGCTCATGATCGTCATGCGTGTGACGGTACTGCCACTCCCCCAGTTCGGTCTTTGGATGAACGTCTCCAGGCTCCATTGGAAGAGGAGGTGCAGGATAGATTCGGTGATGACTCTGGCGACGACGGTCTTGGCAGTGTTCGTGGTTTTTGGGCTGATTATGTTGACGACGACATCGATGTTGATGGCGGCTGTGTCGACACCAATGGCAATGAGCTCTCGGTTGCGCAGATTGATCAGATTATCAAGGCCCTGCAGGGCCAGTTGGAGTCCCTTCGCTTGCTTCCGCCAACCAAGTACGTTCGGGATCAGGTCTTGGGTCTCCAGGATGAGTTGCAGCATCTTCGTGCACAAAAGTCTGACTTACTTACAGTTCCCCAGAAGCGTGCATTCTATAAGCAGCGTCACCGTTGGGCCAGTAAGAAGTTTGACAAGATCTCTAGTCAGATTCGTGAGTTCGACCGCATGATTCTGGACCCCCAGAGCGACAGGGATGCCCTCTATGCCCGTCAGGAGCGCGTCGCCCAGGATATGGCTATGTGGCAGTCTAAGTTGCAGGATCTCCCTTCGAATGAGCCAGTTCCCGAGGGTGACGCACCCCCAGATCTGTCAGCCGTTGCGGACGTCTTCGCAGCTTCCCAGGCAGTTCAGAGAGACAAGAAGCTTGCTCAGGCGTTACGTGACCTTCAGGGTATCGTTATGTCTGGTTATGCTCCTGTTGTTGTTGCCAGCGAACCTCGGTCCCAGTCGGAGGAGCCCAGGATGTCTGTCGACCAGCAAGGGGTCCCAACACGTGTTGCCAGGGCCCCTCCCCGATCTTCTTCCTCATTGCCTCCTGCGCCGAAACGTCCTGCGCACGCCCCTGATGTCGCTGTTGATCTCTCGGGGCAGTCAGGAAGTTGCACGCCGTCGGCTGCCGCCGCCTCTGCCCCCGCCGACACCCCAGCAGCGGCAGAGAGTATCCAGGGCTCCAAAGCCAAGGGCCCGTCGGACCTTGGAGACCCCGTCCGACAAGTCAGCCTTCGGGAAGAAGCCTCGTGGGGACTGGGTCATCGTCACTGTGAATGTTACCTCCTGGTCTAATGCCGATATTTTCCTGGGGGCTTATCCTGATCGGTTTGATGCTGTTGGTTTTCAAGAACTCTGCCGTTCAGAAGAGGCTATCGAGTTCGCTGTCAACCGTGCGCATAAGCATGGATTCCACGCGCACCTTCACCCCTCAGTGAGTACTCAGAAAGGCGGCTTGAGCTCGGGAGTGGGTCTTGTCTCACACTACGCCAGGTCGTTCTCTGAAGTGGTCTTGGATCCGATTGTTGTCTTGCCCCCTCCAGAGAGATTGATCCTGAAGCTATGGCATGGGGTCGTCGATTCAGGCATCCCCTGGGCCAATGTTTATCTGCGCACAGGGGACGGCGCTGAAGATCGCAACGCTCAGCTTCTGATGCAGGTTGCAGCAGTCATGAAGACTATCTCCACCCCCTTTATTATATCAGGGGACTGGAACATGTCCCCCAAGGACTTGCAGAATACGGACTTCTTAACGCTCGTAGGTGGGGTCATTGTCGCGCCAGATGGCCATACTTATGAGTCCGCGGGTGCCCAGTCGTTGATTGACTACTTTGTGGTTCACCCCTTGCTTGCGGCTGCTGTTAAGTGCGAGGCTCGGGAAACCCCCCTGATCCCCAAGCACCAGCCTGTAGCTCTCACTCTTCGTGGAAATCTCCACTCTGATTTGGTATCGGTTTTTCGGCGTCCTCCTCATATCCCTGTAATAAGGCCTGTGGGGTGTACGAATTGTCCGCCTTCCTGGGATGCCTTTCCTGACCCTGATGCAGTCAACACTGTGGAAGATCTGGGTCGCCTTACCTCTTCTTGGCTGAAGACGTCCGCTCAGGAGTTGGTTGCCCTATTCCAGTTGCCAGATCCGCAGGACTACACCAAGTGGGGTGAGCGCCCCTCTACTATCCAGATTTCGGTTTCCAGACTGTTTCCTGGAGGTGTGGTGTCGTCATATGAAGGCAGGCTCTGGGGGTATCTTTCCAACCGTCTTGGCACTCTTCTGTATCTGGCTGACAAGCAGTTGTGGCCCGCGTATCAGAGAGCCTGTCAAGCCCTGCGCCGATATCGCCCCTCGCAGCGTGATGGAGGTCCTCCCCCTGATTGGTCATGGTGGGGGCATTATGCCAATAGGCTTTGTACCCTAGATCTCGGTTCCATCGATTGGCTGCGTGGCGTATTGGCTGAGTCCGCATCTGCTCTGGAACGTGCTGCATCGGCACAGAGATATCAATCCTGGACATCATGGGCCATCCGATCTGTCCAGGAAGGCGGTTCTGCTGCGCACCGATTCAAGGGATCGATGGATTGGGCATCTTTCGACAAGACCACCCCGAACCCAGACGCCCCAGCCGGTGCGCCGCAGCATCATCTTAAGGCGCGAGAAGGAGTTTGGCATGCTATCTGGGAGCCCATGGAGGAGCACCCTGATGATCCCCGCCTGGCCCTGGATTTCCCGCCGATACCTCCTGACGGCCTTGCATCCTTGCCTCGCCCGTCTCTGGACAAGTACAGACAGATGTGTCGCAGGTACAAGGCTCGCACGTCGGTTGGATTGGACTCTACGCATCCACGTCACCATGCGCTACTGTCTGATTCGTCTCTTCTTGCCTTGTTTGGTATCTGGCGTGCTATTCTGCGAATGGGTAGATTTCCTCCCATTCTCGCTGTGTTCATCATGAATTTGATACCGAAGACTGACGGCGGCGAGCGTACTGCGGCTTTGTTCACGACGTGTGTGCGCACGTTCTCTCGGTTCTTCAGGCACACGCACGGTGTTATGTGGGCGCGCTTGCATCCTCGTCCGTACTTGTATGGTGTGCGCGGTCATTATTGTCAAGCATGTGTTTGGCGCATGGGCGTGCTAACGGAGCTAGCAGCTGCCAAAGGTTTGTCTGCGTTTGCACTCTTGCTCGACATCCAGCAGGCTGTTGAACAGGTTCGCCATAAACTTCTCATTGGACGAGCTAGTGAGTTTGGGTTTCATCCAGCACTCTTGAGGGTTTTCCTGTCTCTGCATCGTTCCCCACGCGTGGTCACGCTGCGCCGAATCGTCGGGGAGTGGGTCAGGGCAAGTAAAACTATTGTGGCTGGTTGTTCCTTTGCCGATCTGTTTATGCGTATTTTATTGATGCCTGAGTTGGGTTCCTTTCGTCAGTCTTATCCAAATATGCATCTCGGCCTCGTCGCCGACGACGTCCAGGTCCTGGGGATAGGCACGGAGAGGGAGTTGCTCAAAATGGGTCCTGATGCGTCACACCTTTTGATGAGCAAGCTGACTTTCTCTGCATGTTTGCCACTCTCTGAGAAGAACATCGTGCTCTTGGCTACCGACCCCCAGTTGGCCCAGAGCATTGCAGCAGAAACCCCACGTCTCGCTGGTGCCGTCAAGTTCTCGTGCCGCAACCTCGGGATTGACTATCAGCTACGTCAGGGGCGTCGCTCACGCATTGTCCTCAACGGTCGGTTGAAGAAGGCCACGTCTAAGGCCCGACGCCTTTTGAAGCAAAAAGAGAGCTGGTGCCAAGGTTGCAGGCACTGTAAACACCAACCTGCGGCCCACGGTCATGTACGGCATCGATGTCGTCGGTCTGTCTAGCCATCAGATTCATCAGGTTCGTATTATATACCACGCTGGTCTCGGCACAGGAAAGCGACGGTCTGTCACGATGGATTTGGCGTTGCATGGTGTTACCGACCCTGCGATTGATGCACATGCTGAAGTTATTCGCCTCTGGACTGTCTCTAGATGGGATTCTCTCTTACCCGTCGGTATGATAGACCAAGTTTTCCAGGAAGCCTACACCAAGGTGGCGCCAGATACCCCGTGGACTGACTTGCAGGGCCCAGGACAGATATTGGTAGCCACTATGCGTAGGATTGGGTGGTCTGCGGTTTCGCCCACAATTTGGCGGAATTCTCTTGGAACATCTGTTGATATTTCGTTTACGTCCCCCCGTGAGGCGGTTGCATTGGTGACTCGCGACGCGTCTGTTTGGGCTTGGAAGCAGGCCTCTGAGCGTCACCCATCCTTCAGTCACCTGTCTGGGCCCCCCTTCCTGCCTCCTCTATTTTCCCTCCTGTCAAGAAAAGACTGAAGGATGGGGGGTGCTCCAGCAACGTGCTCTGAGGACTTTTAAATATGGGGGCATATACTTTAAACCTCGGTGCCCCATTTGTCAGCTTGTCCCTTCCGACCCCGTGTTTCACACCCTCTATGAGCGTGATGGGCTGTTGGAGTTTCGTCGTTGGTTCGGCCCGACTCCAGCCCCCACCCGCTGCATAGAGCAGTATCGCGAGAACCCTGTCTGGACCACGGCCATGGTTCCCGACCTGCGCTATTGCTCCTTGCTCGCACCACCTTTCCCAGACCCTGTCTGGGAAGGGGCCATCGACGGCCCCTTTTTCTCGTCGCCTGCGTATGGAGATGGCTCGGGAAAGCATGGTCCCTCGCCGCTCACTCTCCGCTGTGGATGGGGCGTTTGCTCATTTGCCCCGCGTAGCCGAAGCGTCTTTGGTGAGCCCCTCGCCAATGATCGGCTTCGTCTTAGTGCTGGTGCCTATGGCGTGTATCCCTTTCTCACCCAGGATGTCTCAGGGGCTGAGCTCTACGCGTTTTTATTTTATCTAACCCATGCCGCCCCCTCCGACTGCTATGAGTTCGTCACGGATGCCCAGTATGTCGTCGACGGCTGGGCAATGGGGTTCGAAGCTACCACGCACGGCTGGGCCACCCATGCATCCTTGTGGGTCAGGGCCCACCGTGCGGCTTCAGATATCGGGTATCACCTAATTAAGGTCACCAAGGTCCGTGGCCACTCCACCTCTGCTGGTAATAAGCAGGCCGACAGACTTGCTAACCCAGGTGCGGACCTACATACTCTGGACACGGTCCTGCACGACCGAATCAAGCGCTCTGGATTGCTGGTGCGCAATCTTGGTGTGTATATTGGTCATTGTATAGCTTGGATTTTTAAGAATGTGCCCAAAAAGGCTTGGGCGGCGGATTCTGATGAGATCCCCGCCCCCTCGCCCCCCCCCCCCCCTAGTCCTCTCTGGTGCCTCCGCTGGGGCCTTGCATGAGCATTTCTGGGACCCTTCGGCGGGCCGTTTCCGCTGCGTGAATGGTTGGGCTAGCTCGGTTTCCAAGAGCTACTTATTGCGATCTCAGTGCTCCTCTCCCACTGGCGGTGGGCACGTGATCATGCGGTTAAATAATATCATGGTTTGTCGCCGCTGTGGCCGCTACTCGTGCAAGAAGGTGGTTGGTTTAACGAAATCCTGCACTGGCCCTCCTCGGGCCTCTGGCACCATCTCACGGCTACGCCGCATGTGTGATGGACGTGACCCCCGCACTGATCAACCAGTCGGTGATGTCACTGCCGTTGACAATGTCAACGTTATATATGCCTTTCCTGACCCTCATGATATCTTTAATTTTCAGGCACTGCTCGATCCTGCATGGCTTTTAGAGGCCCCGTAGATTTCTCGGGGTCTACATCGGATGTGGGGGTGGATATATCATGGGATCTCTGGCCTGTCTCGTCCGTTTGATGCTGGCAGGACTTCTTGGATCCCCGACACCAGCCCGCCAGAAGTGTCTGTTCTATCGCCATGGGTGCCGACGCGCCTAGGTCGTGCCAAATGTCATGCGCCGACACGTCTGTAGTCGGCTAGGCTTGGGGATAAGTGGGCACAGAGGCGCTGAGAAGCTGGCGCCCGTTCCGCCTGCGCCCACCCACCCCCCTGTCGTGCTGTTGTCACGCCTCCCCCCGCCCAGGCTCGCAAAGAGAAAGACTTGCTCCGCCTGCCGCGCGGTGTGATATCAGTGCATGCCTCTCTAGTCTGTGCCACGAATCTCTCTGCCAGTCGAAATGCCCCTGTGCCGACACGTCAGGGATCGTCGAGTAGGCCCGAGGATGAGTGGGCACAGAGGCGCTGAGAAGCAGGCACCCGTTCCGCCTGCGCCCACTCATCCTCTTTTCGCGCTGCCTTTTCCGCCTTCCCCCGCCCAGGCTCGCAGAGAGAAGCAAAGAGAAAGACTATTGCTCCGCCTGCCGCGGGGGGCGACATCCTTGCACGCCTCTCTAGCTATGCCATATCTCTGCCAGTCGAAATGCTCCTGTGCCGATACGTCAGGGCTCGTCGGCTAGGCCTGGGGATGAGTGGGTACAGAGGCGCTGAGAAGCAGGCACCCGTACCGCCTGCGCCCACTCATCCTCTCTTGTGCTCTTTTTAGCTCCCCCCAGCCCAGGCTCGCGAAGAGAGAAAGGGCTCTCCGCCGCCGTGCTGCTTGTGTCATGTCTGTATGCTGCTACCTGGCCAGAGGTTGAGGCTGGAAGCCCAGGAGCCAGGACGCGGGCTCCAAATTTAACCGCCAGTCTTGCCAGCATCGCTTGTCTCGGGCCTTCGATTTTTCGTTGTCCCTGTTTTTCGGTTCGGTCCCTCGCTCGGCTCTGTTTGGGTCCTGGTCCGTCCCTCGCTTCTTTCGGCCCTTCCTTCGGGCCCCTCGCTCGTCGTTTCGGCGCCACGGGCAGGAGTGTTCGGCAGACGATCACCCGCGCGCAAATCAAACAAACAAAAATATTCCTCCTCCTCCTCCTCCTCCTCCCCCTCCTCCTCCCCGTCTCCCCGCCCCCGGCGGCCCCCTAGAGCCGCGCGCCGAAGGTCACCCTTGCCTAGGGGGGTAAATCGGCCAGTGGGGCCCAGGCCACGCCGCTGGGGATGGGGGTCAGATAAACGATGCTCAGAATCGGTCAATGTTGAACGATTTGAAGTTTCGGGAACGGCCGATCGTTTAAGGTTGACAATTCCCCGCCGCGGGGAACGTTCAACCGCGAGGCCGCGGTGTCCAGGAACCAACGCCTGGGTCGCCACGCTACGAACCTGCCGACCTGGAGAGGTCAGTCACGCGCAGAGGAGGGGTGGGGGAAGGGGGGAGGGTTTCTTAGAAGCACCCCTTCTTCTTAGAAGGCGCGGGCCTTATCTATAGATGCCAGGCCAGCGCCTTCTAAGAAGCAGCCTCCTTCTAAGAAGCCCTTCCCTCCCCCCACCCCCTTGTGCGCGCCGCCAAAGAAGCCTGGGGGCCGACGTCGGGGCACGAAACCCAGACCTCTGGTGTCCTGGAAGGATGTTAATATTTCTTTCGGGGCGAGGGCAAGCTTCTGGATCTTGGGGCTGTTTCAAGCAGCAGAGGCCATCCATAGAATTTATCGAGGATGAAGGTCTGGCACTGGTGAGGTGGCGAGGGGTCGCGCGGCCAGCGGCTCAAGCAGACCGAGTCGTCGGGGCCCAGGTCGAGCACCGATGGGGTCGCTGAAGGGTCAGGTGCTCCGTCGCCTTTGGGGGCAGGAGGTGGCAAAGTGGGGCAACCATGAGGCCCACATGGGGCCACTTTCATCAGGCGGTCGCACACATGAATTAAGGGGGCGTAGAGTAGCGACGGGTCCCGCTTCCATGGGAAATCGCGGATTCCCGCCGCCGAGCGAGGCGGCGCTGGCCGCACTTTGGGGATGGCACCTCCCCCGATCCAAGGGTTTGGCGACCGCGCGCCAAATCCATGGATCGCTAATCCATGTTTGCGCGCCCCCGATTGGGGGCAGGAGGTGGCAAACTGGGGCAACCATGAGGCCCACCTGGGGCCGCTTTCAGGGTCTCGCAGCGAGGTCGGCTCCACCAGCAGGATTTGTGGCAGCGTCCGCCGAGGGAAGACGATGCCCACTCTCGGGCGGCGGTGGGTGAAGCTCGGGCCACTTCAAGCGGCACCAGAGCCACCGCCGACGCCAACGCCGTGTCCCAGCCTTTCTCGACGACGCAGGTGGCCCCCGATCTTGGTGACGGCGTCAAGTTTCAGCCCCCCGCCCACCCTCAAGTTCGCCCGTTTGGGTCATGAGAATTCCGTGCACAACTTTTGGTTTGTTGTCCAGGTCCCATTCCTCCTTTCTGCTCCTCCCCGAGTGTTGTTTTCCTCGCTTGCCAGGCACTGCTCCTTGGCACGTGGAGGCAAAGTCTTGCTGTGGTGGTCTGCAGTGCTCACACATCGAGGTATTATCGCCGCCTGTGCGGAGGAAAAACAAAAGCACCCTCAAGTTCGTCCCACGCGCCCCCGTGACCCGCCCACCCGGCCGTCGAGTCGTACCTGCTCGTCAACGAGATGAAGGATGCCGGCGGCACGCACAAAGCGGGGTGGGGCGAGGGCAGCAGCAGCTTTCCAAGATGGCGGGGTACTTCTTGGAAGGCGGGAACCCTCTTGGAAAGGCCTGGCCCTTGCCTACCTACGGTCGGACCCAGGCATGAGGTCGAGGTCGCTTCGGGGAGGGTACCCTCGTGCTCTTCGTGTTTGTTGGATGTTCTTGTGCACCCTGGGGAGGGTACCCTTGGACGTGCTGTGTGCCTTGGCTGGCGGAGGGTGTCCTGTTCTTGAAGGGTGTTCTTCTGGCCTAGGTACGACTGTGCTTCTCAGAAGGCGGGAACCTGCTTCGAAGGGCCTGGCTTTTGAGAAGCCCCCTACCTTCTCAGACCCCCTCCCCCGCCTGCTTGAAAGGCCACCCCCTTCGTGCTGCCCCCGCTGTGCTCGCCGAGGAGCACGGCGTCCGCGCCGACAAGCTCTCTTCCACGATCGACGTCTTCATCGAGATGGGAAAGCCCTTCGCCCGGCCGCTGTGCCCCGTGGAGTAGCCGCGAGCCCTGCCCGAGGAGGGAAAAGCAGCACTCACGCAAGCTGCTGGGGCTCCGCGCGGACTCCTTGGATCTGCGCTGCCCCCCCCCCCCCCCAGGGCGGCACCTCCAGTGCCGCCCCTGGCGCGCGTTCAGTCTCCGCAGTAATTCTTCACGCTTCGCGTGTCCCCACCAGCCTAGTGTTCGGACGGCTTTCGACCCGCCTCGCGAGCCTGTTGACCAAAAAGTGTCCCCACCAGCCCGTTCAGCAGCCCTGCCCCTGAGAGCCGATGGGAAAAGGGACGAAGAGAAGCATCTAGAGAAACCAAGCGGGCGACCAGGATGGAGAGGGAGATCTCTGGGAGCAAGGGGGTGGCCTTGGAGGGTCCCTTCGTGCAATCCCTGGGGCCCGCCGCGGGGGAGCGAGGGGAGGAGGAGGAGGAGAAGGAGGCGGAGGAGGAGGATGGTCTGGCCGTGCCTGTGCGCCATACTTGGGGCCCCTGGGAAAAGAAGAACGACGTTAATCTGTCCTCTCCTCCTCCTCCTCCTCCTCCTCCTCCTCGCCCTCCTCGCCGTCCTCCTCCTCCTCCTCCTCCTCCTCCTCCTCCTCCTCCTCCTCCTTCTCCTCGCCCCCTCCTTTCCTCCTTCCTCTCCTCCTCATCTCCTCCTCCTCTCCTCCTCCTCTTCCCTCAGGCTTCCGAGGTGACCCCTCCTCCTCCTCCTCCTCCTCCTCCTCCTCCTCCTCCTCTTCCTCAGGCTTCGAGTGACCTCAACCACAAGTGTGTTCCGTTTGAGTGCTCTAAGTATTGACGTTTCGCGTATCCTCACCAGCGAGGGTAATTTTGTCCCTGGCACGTGCTTACGCCACTGCGGCCAATTATCTTCGTTCCGCGCCTCGGACGTTGACCCGCTCCATGTCCCTCGCCTTGGAGCCGCGAACCAAAAGAGTATCCTCACCAGCCCATGCAGAAGCAGATCGCCAGGCGAGTTACCTTGATCAGGGAAGTCAGGGAAGCGTAGAAGAGTGCAGTATAACAACCGCCGCCTTGGAAGCGTTTTCTCGGAGGTCATTTGGAGCTATCTTGGGGTTCTCTCGGGGTCCTCGCGGAGCCTCTTGGGGCACTCTTCAGGCCCTCTTGGGGCTCTCTTGGGGCCTTCTTGGGGCCCTCTCGGGGCTGTCTGGGGTGGGTGGGCCCTCTTCGGGCCCTCTCGTGGGGCTGTCTTGGTCTATCTCGGGGCCGTGTGAAGGAACAGGCGAGACCGCAAACAAAAACATGGATCTCATTTCCAGTGTGGAGCTAGTTGCGCTTCTTGGGGAGGGCCTTGGAGGGCTCGAAGAGCACTTGAAACCGGCTTGGGACCGTCTTGAGGTATATTTGATGTGTACGGGGGGTTATTTTGACCCATCTTGATCTATCTGGAGCAATCTTGGATGCCTTTTTGCGCTCCCAGAGGATCTCGTGGAGCCATATCGGGCCATCTTGGACGCTGGAAACCCTCGCGGGGTGCCCCTTCCAGGCCCAGGGTAGGGGGTAAGGGGAGGGACAAGCTGCCCACCCGCCCGCAAGCCGTCTTGTTCACTCCCACCCGCCCTCCCAAGACATCAGTAGCACCGAGCCTCAGCGTGTTCAGCGGTCGTCTTTGGATGGGCAGCTACTGGGAACCAAAACCGAGCCCATGCGCGCGACGCTGGGGCGAGGTGCGCCACGCGTGCCAGGCGCGCCCCGCGCGCCAGACACCCCTGGGGTCCGAGCGTGCCAGGCACGCCTGGTGCGCCAGATGCGCCACGTGCCTTCGCGTGCGCCAGGTGTGCCGCATATTCCAGACGCGCCAGGTGCACGACGTTCGGGGCACGTGCAGAGTACCAGCTGCGCCTACGTACGTGACAACACACATTGGGAAACATGTCGGCCCGCACCATCCATGTCGAAAACCCATGCCCATCATTGTGTCTGGTGGGCCTGCGCACAGCAGGCCATACGCCACCACTTGACAGTGATCGCGGGGCGGCCGCGCCTGATCCAGATTGAGCCGCCAAGTGTGTATATATATAGATATGATCTCCTTTGTGTTAGGGATGGTAGCCCTGCGCGCAGCAGACTATATGCTGACACCTCCGCCGCCCCTGTCCAAAAACCATACAAAGTGCTCGCGGGCCTCAAGAACATGACTCCCGACTTTGCCCCAAAGTGTACTTTGCATTGTTTTTTGACAGGGATGGTGGAGGGGGGCGGGCGCATCGGTCTGGCCGCGCATGCTTCAATGTGGAGGCAGAGTGCGTTTTGGAATGTTTTTGATAAGGATGGTGGGGGGGGGGCCCTTCTTGTTCCTGGTTGGCTGCCGGTCGCTTGGGGGAGGGGGTGTATATTAATAGGGAGTAGTGATTGAACCCCTCCCGAGCAGGGGAAGGAGGGAGCGTTGGCAGAGAGAAGACAAAGCTCGTTAAATCACCTACTGCGCCCAGAGGGCTGGTGGGACTAAAGGTGTTCCGTTTGACTGTTCTAATTAACGATTCTTTGGTGGTGGTCGCTTGCACAGCTTGCCAGCATTATTTGGCTGGTGCTCTCCTAGCCAAGCTAAGGGAGGTTTGCACGGCCCACGCTTCGACCCCAAGACAGGCAAGGGCAAGCACAACCAGGACAGATGAAACAGAATAAGCAGAGGACTCCACCCCAAAGAGCCAGGAGCCATTATGTTTTCCGTCATTGCCTTTTGATTTATGCAAGCATCGCAGTGGTCGTGCTCAAACAGATCCTTTTAGTTCCCGACCCCTGTCTTCCTCCTCCTCCTCTTCCTCGCCCTCGTCCTGGAGAGCCTCCTCCTCCACCTCCTC